CCTTGAAGGAGCAGTTCCGCCGGGCGTTGAAGTATGCCGAGTTGCGAACGCGGGCCGATGAGGAGAACCGTCCGGGGCCGGCGCCCGATCCTCACTTGGAGGCCCTGGCTCCTTACGCCGCGGGAGAGAAGCTGGTCGTGCTGCATGCGAGCAGCCACGGCGACATTCTGGCGGCCATCGACTTTGCCGAAGAGATGGAACTCGATTGGATTCTTTCAGACGCCGCCGACGCGTGGAAGTGCGTCGAGGATTTGAAAGAGCACAATGTGCGGGTAATCCTAGGGCCCAGTATGCAGTTGCCGGGCGATGAGTTCCAACCGTATGACGCGCCGTATTCCAATGCCGCCCGGTTGCATGAGGCCGGCGTGTCGTTCGCCATCAAGGCCGTCGACAGTGGACCGGGTTCGGCCACCAGCGGACGCAACTTGCCGTTCCAGGCCGCGATGGCGGCTTCTTATGGATTGCCGGTGGATGAGGCGATAAAGGCCGTCACGCTGTATCCGGCCAAGATTCTTGGTGTCGACGATCAGGTGGGTTCGATTGGTGTTGGGAAGCAGGCCAACCTGGTGATTACCGACGGCAATCTGCTGCAACCGGCCACGCGGGTGAAGTGGATGTTCATCGCCGGGCGGCCGGTCGCTCCAGAAAGCAAACACACCGAGCTGTATGCTCAATACCGTCGCCGGTTGAAAGAAGTGCAAGCCGGCAAGGTGATGCTGGGTGTGCAATCGGGTGAAGCGGAGGAAGCCACTTCGGAGGCTGCTGGCCAGTAGGCAGGCCGAGAAGGGATGAGTGGCGCGGGGTAGTCGCGTGCCGTTGTGCTACGCGGCGCGAGTTTGTTCCGGTGTGGGCGCCTGCAGGGTGGGGCTGATGCTCTCGGGGTGCAAGGCCCAATGCTGGCCGTAGAGCTTGAGTTGACTGCTGAGCAGCAGCATGTCGACCGGTTCGGGCTGTTCGGTCTCGGGCCCCGTGACGAGCAGCCGACACACGCCGGATTCTTCCGTTGGGAAGCCGATGCGTAGGGACCAGGCCGCCTGATCGTCGTCGGTAGAGGTGCTTTCGGCCAACTGTTCGGCTGCCTGATTGGCGATGATTTGATCGCGAAGCAATTCTTGCAGGCGGGGCGAAGGCGTGGGGCGGCGCAGGGTGCCCATCTTGCTGGGGTCGGGCACCGGCTGGCCTTTCTGCCAGACATGGATCTTATGCTTGGCTTCTTCATCATCTTCGAACCGCAGTTCGAGTCGCTGGATGCCGTAGCGTTGCATCTCTTCGACCAGCATGGCCCAGACGCGTTCGAAGGGCAGCGCGGCGAGGCTGCTGCGTTTAGCGAGCAATCCTTGGGAACGATGGGCGGCCGCCCATCGCCCGACCCAGGCGGCCAGCACTTGGGCGACCGAGACCTTCGCTAGCGAAAGTTCGTAGTGCCCAAACATGCGGGTGATGACCAACAGCATCACCAGCGTGATGGCGGTGATCCAAGCCAGCCCGTCGTTTTGGAAGATGGTGGAAGCCGTGGCTGCCGTGCCAGTCATGAGGCATAACGCCCCGATGACACACAACGATTGCCAAGTGCTGAGCCCTCGATCGAGCAGGCGGTGGTGGATGTGTCCGCGGTCGGCGGCGTCGATGGGTTGACCGCTGAGTTTGCGGCGGACGATGGCCATCCCGATATCGAGCATAGGGATGCTCATGATGATGGCCGGTGCGGTGAGCGACAGGGTGGCCGTGGTCTTCAGCGAGCCCTGCATTCCCAGGATGCCCACAACCAGCCCGATAACCATACTGCCCGAGTCGCCCAGATAGATACTGGCTGGCGGCAGATTGAATACCAGGAAGCCGGCCAGAGCGCCAGCGAGCACTAAGGCGATCATCGCCACATGCGGATGTCCACTGATGGTGGCGATCATGGCCATCATCATGGCGGTGGTTAGCCCTACGACAGAAGCCAGGCCATCCATGCCGTCGAGCAGGTTCAAGGCGTTGATTGATCCGACCAGCCAACAAACAGTGAGCGGGATGCCAAGCATGCCGAGTTCGATGGGGTAGCCAAACACAACCAGCCGGTCGACCCAATAGCCGGTGGCCACTACGATCAGCGATGCGCCAACCTGCAGCAAGAGTTTGAATCGTGGGGCCAAGTCCCACAGATCGTCGACGCAGCCAATGATGCAAACGAGACCGGCCACGATTAGGACGACGGCCGATAGCCGGGCGTGGGGATCGACCGCGGTGAGCAGACCGTTGGTGGTGAAGAACAGGCCGAACACCAATGCCAGGTAGACGGCCACCCCGCCGAACAACGGCACGGGGCGTTCGTGTAACTTGCGATGACCGTCGGGCTTATCGATGGCGCCCAGACGTTGCGCGAGTGCCCGGGCAACCGGCGTTAGAACGACGGCGCACCCGAACGCGATAAGAAATCGCCACAGCGGTGTGTGCATCCTTGCAACCCGCGAGGTTTTAAACCGGCGACGAAGCCTTTGCCATCAAACATCCATGATGCAGGTATTCGCCGTACCGGATGTAGATTAGTCCATGCCCACCTGGGGAGTGCGACACGGGGCCGCAAGCTCGCTAAACGGACGGCGTATTCTAGGGGTTTCCCGATCTGACGCAACGTCCAGTCGGCGAGAATCGTGTGAAGAAAATGCGAAGCAGAACCGCTTGTGATGCTGTCGATGCTGGCTACGCAATGCGCGGCTTGCCAAGAACGCGGCGGGCAACTTGCTTGAGTTGATAGACGTGCCAGGGAAGGCGACCCAACGGGCGGATCAGCGATTGAGCATCGCGGGCGAACTCGGCATCGAGACGACTGCTGCTGAACCCGTCTTCGTCGTAGATGGCGATCTCGGCGTCGAGATACTCAGGCTGTGTCTGTGGATCGGCAAAGCTCTGCAGGTTGAATGCCCAATCGGCCCAGACGCGATAGCGGGGTTCGAACGGACCGATGCGATCGAACAGTTCTCGCGAGTAGAAGATGCCCTGCTGGCAGATATTTCGCAGGCACAGGCTCAGCTTGGAGAACTCGCCACCGTAGCGTCGCTGCTTACTTTGTAAGCGAACGTCGCCGTAGAGCATCTGCCCGGCGTGAGGAACGGAAAAGACTTGCTTGAGCACATCAGCATCGACAAACCGGTCGCCGGCCCCCAGGAAGTAGATCCAATCTCCGGAGGCGTGTTGAATTCCCTTATTGAAGGCGTCGTAGATCCCGTCGTCGGCTTCGCTGCACCAGAAGTCGATCGGATAGTTGCCTTGTTGAACGACATCGAGCGTCCCGTCGGTGGAACCGCCGTCGATGATTAACAACTCGCGGTTGCGGTAACTTTGCTCGGCCACGCTTTGCAGTGTGATAGGCAACGCGCTGCTGGCGTTGTAGGTGGCAATGATGATTGAAACTCGCGGGTAAGTCGGTCGATTCGAAAACCGACTGGAAAGGGAGCGCCGAGAGGAGTTCGTCGTCTGCAGCCGCGTCATTCCGGTGCGCCCTGAGCGTGTGGAGTTCGGTTGAGGTGCTTGAGGTAAGAAGGCCTGAAGTCGGTGGGCGATGCGATGGGCCGCATGCCGACACACGTTTTGCGTTTGGTTAAGCGGCTTCCGCGGTGGCCACGGTTTCGCGGTGCTCTTCGTACCAGCGAATGGTCTCGCGGAGGCCTTCATCGAGCGAAGTTTTGGCCTGAAAGCCGAACCGCTCGCGGGCGCGGGTGGTGTCGAGGCACCTTCGTGGTTGACCGTCGGGCTTGGTGGCGTCCCATTGCACGCGGCCCTGGAAGTTGCAGAGCTGGCAGATTTTGGTCACCAGGTCTTTGATGCTGATTTCTTGTCCCGATCCGATGTTCACAGGATCGGCGTCCTCGTAATACTCGGTCGCTCTTGCGATGGCTGCGGCGGCGTCGCGAACGAAGAGGAACTCCCGGGAAGCGGAACCGGTGCCCCATACGTCGAGCGTATCGCTGCCGGCCTCGCGGGCTTCGGCCACTTTGCGAATGAGTGCCGGAATGACATGACTGGATTCTGGGTCGAAGTTATCGCCGGGGCCGTACAGGTTCACGGGCAGCAGCGAAATGGCGTTCATGCCGTATTGCTGGCGATAGGCCTGCGATTGAACCAGCAACATCTTTTTGGCCAACCCGTAGGGGGCGTTGGTTTCTTCGGGGTATCCGTTCCACAGGTCGTCTTCTCGAAACGGAACCGGGGTGTGTTTGGGGTAGGAGCAGATGGTGCCCACGGTGACGAACTTCTCGACGCCGGCCCGTCGGGCGAACTCGAGCAACTGAATGCCCATGATGGCATTGTCGTAGAAGTAACGTCCGGGGTTCTTTCGATTGGCCCCGATGCCGCCGACGTGGCCCGCCAGGTGCAGAATGACTTCGGGGCGCGCGTCTTGCAGCATGCGTTCGATCGCTTCTTCGTGTCGCAGGTCGTACTGCGCGCTGCGAGGAACGAACACGCTGGCCGGGTGGTATTCGGCCAAGGCTTGGCATACGGCGGAACCAAGAAACCCGGCTCCTCCGGTGACCACGACACTGCGTCCTTGCAAGAAACTCATTCGGTTTGCCTTGCTATCAATTGCCCCCGCGAGGATCCTGCTTCTCACGGAATGGTGCGGCTTGCTTGCGGCGATCGAACCTCAAAGCCCGGGGTCGCGCGGACAAAGTCGCCTGATTAGAGGGGGCAATGGTACCTGAACGTCGATGTCGGGCAAGATCAGTATCGTTGGTGGCGCGTCGAAGTGGACGTGACAGCGTCACACAGGGCGTTGCTAGCACCGTACCCGAGGGTTTGACATTCGTTGTCGAAACTGGGGTATTCGAGGCAACTGCTTGAACGTTACGTTGTGGCGACTGCTCGACGCGCACGCTGCGGCATCTCCTGGTGCTTGCTTTCACGATACATCCGTTGGTAGGTCGATGGCCGAACCCCATTTTCGAGGATCGTCAAAACCGGTCGGCGCAACGACTAATGCGACTGGGGCCGCGACGCGTGTCGACTCGAACGGTGGGATGCCAGCTAAGCTTGCTGGAAGACAAACTGCGAGTGCAGTACCTCACGAACAGACGGAGCTTCCCGCGCGAACCATCGCGATTGATCTCACTCGTCTGTTGCCCGACGGGATTAGTGGTGGGGTGAGAGTCGTCAGCGTGGAACTGGTCCAGCAACTTGCCGAACTGGCACTGCACTGGAATTTTTTGGTGCTCACGTCGAGTTTCTCGCATCGGGAACTGGCCCTGGTCGATCGGGCGAACGTGCGACGGGTTTGTCTCGATCCTTTGAATGACCAGCAGGCTGAAGCCGCTCGCCAGCAAACGTCTCTGCTGGGGTATGTGCGGGGACTGCTTCGTCATCGCATGTTGGCGCCGCTGCGTTCGCTGGCCTGGAAGTATCTGTGGCGCCCGCGACGATTGGAGTTGCTCGAACGGGAGCAGGTCGATGCGTTGCTGCTGCCGCTCACCGCGCCGGCGTACTATGCTCCCGGGGTTCCAACGGTGGCGGTGGTATACGACTTACAACATATGGATCATCCGGAGTTCTTCCGGCGTGATGATCGAGTCGCGCGAAGTGTGCACTTGCAAACTCTGCTGAAGTTGGATGCCAGGCTGATCTGTATTTCGAGCCATACCCGCGAGGCCATTCAGCGGCGGTTGAACGTTGCGCCCGAGCAAACCACATTGATCCCTTTCGGGCTGCGAGCGGAGTTCCCGATCTACGAGCGACCATCGGCCGCGTCCACGCTCAAGCGTTATGGACTTGCCGAGCGGGGCTTCTGGTTCTATCCGGCGAATTCCTGGCCGCATAAGAATCATCTGCGTCTGCTTGAGGGCTTTGCCGAGTATCGACGTCGCGGAGGCGATCCCGCGGTGAAGCTGGTCTGCAGTGGAGCCGACACTGGGGGTCACGAGCAATTGCAGCGGGCCATCAGCGAGCTGGGGCTCGAAGACGCTGTGCAGTTGAGTGGGTATGTGTCGGAGGATGCTCTGCTCGATCTGATGGCTTCGTGCCGAGCGTTGGTGTTTCCTTCGTTGTACGAGGGTTTTGGAATGCCGGTTCTCGAGGCGATGGCCTGTGGGGTGCCGGTGGCGTGCAGTAATGTGACGAGCCTTCCGGAAGTGGTGGGCGAAGCGGCGCTGTTGTTCGACCCCAAGTGTGCGGAATCGATCGCTGGAGCGCTGTTGGCTTTGGATGATCCTGAGAGGGCGGCACAATTGGCCACGGCAGGTCGAGCCAGGGCGGCCAGATTCGATACGGTGGCCACGATGGGTGAGAGTTACTTGCGAGTGCTGGAAGAGGTCTGTCTTAGCAAGGCCCGCTCAGCGACCGCTTAGCCTCTTCTGCGGCAAACAACCCTGCTTCTTCCTGGCAACGGTTCGCCCAGGTTCCGCCTGCAACGGTTCTTCGGGTTCTCTCGCAGAGCGGCTCGCCTGCCCCCCCGGGTGACCGCAACAGCCTGCGGCTTCTCCTTCGGCGTGTGGACTATTCGCATCGCCTTGGTGTCGCTTTACCTGTTCTGTGCGAACCAATCAATTCGGCCCGCAAAGCCCTGCAAAACCTTGCACTCGCTGCCAACTCCCAGGTGTGCGAAGAAATCTGAAGAATCACCCATCTGGTTTGATTGAGGGGATCGGGCACCCCAATTAACCTGGAGGAATTGAGGAACACAGGTAAAGTCTCCGGAACAGACAAGACCTGCAGGCGCCACGGCTGGCACTCTTCTCACTCACTTTTCAGGAGTGTCGCCACCGTGTCTGGTCGCAAAGGTTGGTTTTCTCGTCGTCGCTCGCAGTTTACTCGCCTAGATTCCAACGATTCTTCTCGCACGACACGCACCGCCTCTTTCAGCATGGAAAGCCTGGAGCCGCGGGCGATGCTTGCCGCTTACGTCGACGGCTTTGAGCAGGCCGTCGTGGCCAGTGGTCTGTCGGTGCCGACCGACATGGCGTTCTCTCCTGATGGCCGCATCTTCGTCGCTGAGAAGGCTGGCCGTGTTCGGGTAATTGAGAATGGCGTTTTACTTTCCCAACCATTCTTAGAAGTGCCAGCGGATCCGCAGGGTCATCACGGTCTGCTGTCGTTAGCCTTCGACCCCGACTTCCAGAACAACGGATATCTGTACATCTTCTACACCGTGGCCGAAGGTGACCCGGCCGTACGACTGAGCCGCTTCAAGGTTAGCAATACCGATCCGAACGTTGCTGACCCCAACAGCGAACTTCCGATGATCGAAGACATCGTGATGCCGATCGACATTCACGACGGCGGCGGCATGAAGTTCGGCACCGATGGCATGCTGTATCTGGGCATCGGCGATGGGGGTATTCCCGACGCGGCCCAAGGCATGTCCACCCTGCAGGGCAAGCTGTTGCGGCTCGATGTTTCGAACTACCCCAACGTTGTGCCGGCGGACAATCCTTTCGTGGGAGTACCTGGCGTTCGTCCCGAGATTTATGCCTCGGGTCTGCGGAATCCGTTCAAGCTGGACGTCGATCCGGTGAACGACCGGATGTGGTTGACCAACACGGGCGATGATCAGTTCGAGGAAATAAACGAAGTTCGACCGGGTGCAAACTATGGATGGCCCATCTACGAAGGCCCCACGGATGTTCCGGGCTTTACGACACCGATCTATTCTTATGCCCACGATCAAATCGGTGGTTCGATCACCGCGGGCACGTTCTACTACGGCAATGCTCTGCCGGAAGAGTACAACGGCGACTTCTTCTTTGCCGACTTCTCCCACCAGTCGATCCGACGGCTTGATCTGACCGAAAGCAACGACCACTACCACGACGGAGTCCATCACGAGCTGACCTCGACCGACTTCGCCACGGGACTGTTCGGCCCGGTCGATATCGAAGTCGACCAAAACGGTGAACTGTATTATCTCGATGTGTGGACCGGCACGGTTTATCACATCGACTACGTGGGCGAGGGGAATCGTAATCCAACCGCGGTCGGGACGGCCGACGTGGGCTTCGGCGATTCGCCCCTTACGGTGAACTTCGATGGTTCGCAAAGCAGCGACCCCGATAACGACGACCTGTTCTACTCGTGGGACTTTGGCGATGGTTACCCACCCGTGCCAGGTGTCAATGTTTCGCACACTTACCAAAATCCGGGCATCTATCAGGCCGTATTGACAGTTCATGACGGCAATGGGGGTAGCGGCATATCTGAGCCAATTACGATTGCCGTGGACGAACATCCGCCCACCGGTCAGATCGATCTCTTCCCAGAACACACCTTGTATCAGGGCGGCGACTCGATCGCGTTCTCGGGCACCGGGTTCGATGTTGAGGACGGTACGCTTGACGCCTCGGCCTTTAGCTGGAATATCACCTTCCACCATCACACTCATACACACCCCGTGTTTGGACTGGAAGGGGTTACCTCTGGCTCGTTCGAAGTGCCGGTGACCGGAGAAACATCGCCTGACGTTTGGTACCGTATCACGCTGACGGTCACCGATTCGGCAGGGTTGGATCATACGTCGTACGTTGATGTCTTCCCGCACCTCACCGAGGTCACGCTGTCCACGAATGTTGGTCTCGCGAACCTGGTGCTAGATGACGCAACCGTAGGAAGCCCTTTCATGTTCGATGGGGTTGCCGGCGTGATGCGACCCATCGAAGCGCCACTGCTGCAACAGAAGGACGGGATGACCTACCTGTTTAAGTCTTGGTCGGATGGAGGGGCATTGGCGCACACTATCGTTACCCCGATTACGCCGACCACGTTGACAGCGAACTACGAAGTGGTTGCGCCCGAGAGAGTCGAAGCCACCTACTTTGTGGCGGGTCTTTACGAAAAACTGCTGGGGCGGGTAGCCGATTTGCCCGGGCTGCAGGCCAATGTCGACCTGTTGGTGGCAGGCGAATCCCCGACCAACCTGATCGCGTCGTTATGGGCTTCGCCCGAACATCGAAAGATGCAGGTGATCGAGTTCTACAACGAATTTCTCGATCGTATCCCGGCCCAAGATGAAATTGACTATTGGGTTGGTCAACTGAACTCCGGCGTATCGGAAACCGCTTTCGCTCGGACGATTCTCAGCTCAAGCGAATTCGTATCGCTAGATAACAATGTCCCCACAATCTACATCAACAAGCTGTACTCACTCGTCCTCAAACGCCAGGGTTCGACCCAGGAAGTTCAGGCCTGGGTTAACCTGCTCAACAATGGTGTGTCACATGCTGACATTGCGAATGTCTTTCTGACCACGGGCGAGCGTTACAATGTGATGCTGGCTCGCTACTACACGAATTTCCTGGAACGCCCGATGCTGCCCTCCGAGGCTTTGGGCGATGTGTATGCCAGCAGTGCGACCGCTCTGCAACAGATTGGAACTTCGGTTCTGGCCTCTTCAGAGTTCCTCACTCGCCAGACGGCCCGACCGACCGTGGTGGCGCTATACGACAACGTTTTGCACCGCACGGCGACCGACGGTGAAGTTGACTACTGGACCAACCAGTTGCTCAATGGGTTGTCGCGCGAGGTGGTGGTAACCGCTTTCCATCAATCGGTCGAAGGCCTGGGTCACCTGGTCACGGAGGCTTACGGTTCGATTCTGGAACGATTGCCGGCCGACGTGGAACGTGACTACTGGGTGGCTCAAATCGGATTGGGCACCACCGAACTCGGGGTCTCGCAAACCTTCTTTTTGTCTGCAGAGTACCAAGCCCTGTACTCAAGCGACGAAGCGTTCATTAGTAGTTTGTACACCAAGATTTTGAACCGGGATGCAGATTCGGCTGGACTGCAGGCCTGGGTTGCAGCTCTGGAGTCGGGTGTTACGCGACAGACGGCCGTGGCCACCTTCCTGGCAACGGCAGAATATCGGGCCCAGGTTATCACCGATATCTACACCGAGTTCCTGGGGCGGAGTCCTGTGGCTGTGGAGACGGCTTACTGGAGTGCAAATCTTCCGACCAATGGGACCATGGCGGCCACGCTAAGAACGGCGGTGTTGGCGTCGGACGAATACTTCCGCACGGCCACCGTCCACACGGTGGTTGCTCACGATCTGTCGAACGAGACCTATGTAGCGGCCCTGTACAATGACATCCTCCAGCGGCCGGCCACTCCAGAAGAAGTTGCCGGTTACTCAGCGTTGTTAGGCACTGGGGTGTCGCGCTTCAACGTGACCAGCCAGATCTGGAATTCGCCTGAGCGTGCGAGCCTGGTGGCTAATGATCTCTACAGCACCTTACTGGGACGTGCCCCGACCGCTCAAGAAGAGGCCGACGTTGCCGCCGCACTGCTGAGCACCGGCGGGAAAATCGAATCCACATTCGGAATCTTGACCTCCGGTGAATACAACTCACTGTACGCGTCAGACGAGGCGTTTGTCGGTGCGTTGTATACCGACGTACTGAATCGAGCCATTCTTCCAGAAGAAACCCAGTTCTGGACAACAGTTCTTAGTCATGGCAACACCCGTGCTGCTGTAACTGCTGTCATCCAGCATTCGGATGAAGCCTTAGGCAACTTGATTGACGGGGCCTACAACGATTACCTGGATCACGACGCTGAAGCGGGCGTTGCGCAAGTCTGGCTCGATCAATTGTCTTCCGGGGCTCAAACCGAGCGTGATCTGGCGCTGTCACTACTTACCTCGGAAGAGTATTACCAACTACAGAGCCCCTAGCCCCGGCAGGGAATACTTGACTTTCAAAGTGGGTGTTTCTTAGGCGACTCTACAACAGTTGCATTTTGCCTAAGCAGGAAGCTGTTCCCCCACCCTTTGGGAGGTATTCCGATCTGATTTGTCTGATAGGTGCTGTTTCTGCGCGCCAGATGATTGAGGAAGAATCACTGCCACTATAAGCTAGAAGGCTTCGGAACATTCTGAGGCGCCGGGGGCGGCGCAGTGTGAACTTTCCTGTGTAAGGGTGCCCTCTTCATGGCCAACAACTCTGGCTGGTTCTCTAGGCTAGGCCTGCGCCGTGGCCCTTCCCGATCGACCTCGTCGAATCACGTACGGTCCGAACGCTGTTTTCATACGGTCGAAGCATTGGAGTCGCGCGAGTTGCTCGCCGTGTTGCCGGCTGGCTTTCAAGAGACACGAGTTGCCGAGGGACTTTCGACTCCCACAGACATGGAGTTTTCGCCAGATGGTCGCCTGTTTGTTTTGGAAAAGGGCGGTCGCGTTCGGATTGTTGAGAGTGGGGTGCTGTTAGCCGAACCATTTCTCACCATCAGCCCGAATACGGAAGGAGAGCGGGGACTCTTAGGGCTGGCATTCGACCCCGAATTCGAGAACAACGGCTATGTCTACATCTACTACACTCGCTCTGGAATTACTCCGGCCAACCGGTTGAGTCGGTTTACGGTCAGTAACTTTGACGACAACGTCGCCGATCCGACAAGCGAATTAGTGCTGTTGGATGACATCCCTGTGGCCGCCAATATTCACAATGGTGGAGCCATGGCGTTTGGGCATGATGGAATGCTATATCTGGGAATCGGGGACGGTGTACTGACCGGCAACGTGCAGGATCTCTCCTCGCTCAATGGCAAACTGCTCCGCCTCGATATGCGGAATTACCCCACGATCATCCCATCGGACAATCCCTTTGTCGGTACCGTCGGAGCTCGAGGAGAAATCTACGCCCTAGGGCTACGCAATCCCTTCAAATTGGATGTCCACCCGGTCGATGGACGCATCTGGATCACCAACACCGGCGACGCGAGCTTTGAAGAAATACATGAAGCTCGCGCGGGTGCCAACTTTGGGTGGCCTCTTTATGAGGGCTCAACCGACGACCCTGCCTTCGACGATCCGGTTTATTCCTACCCCTACGGCTCAGGCGCTGCCATCGCCGGCGGAGTGTTCTACCGAGGGAATCAGTTTCCTATCGAATACGATGGAGATTTCTTCTATACCGACTTCGCCCAAGCGGCAATTCGTCGAATCGATGTCGATGCAGATCATCACCACGATGATGACCTGGAAGCGGAACATGACCATGAATTGACTTCGAGTGCATTTGCAAGCGCAATTTCTTTTCCTGTCGACCTGGAGTTAAGCAGTGACGGCGCCTTGTATGTCTTGGAAATCTTTTCGGGGATCGTCACCCGCATCGAATATGTAGGTGACGGCAACCGTGCACCGGATGCAGTCGCTATGGCCGATCAAACGTTCGGCGATTCGCCTCTTACGGTATCTTTTGACGGATCCGGAAGTAGCGATCCGGACTCAGACACCCTGACCTACTCGTGGGATTTCGGCGACGGATCGGCCCCCATCACAGGTGTCTCGGCGGTTCACACTTATACCGTTCCCGGGATCTATACTGCCCGGCTTACTGTCGACGATGGTCAAGGAGCTACCGACCAAAGCGATCCCATTACAATTGCCGTGGATGAACATCCCCCCGCCGGGCAAATCAATGTTGTGCCGCAACATCCGCTTTACCACGGCGGCGACACGATTCAATTCTCAGCGACGGCTACTGACGACGAGGACGGGACACTTTCGCCATCGGCATTTAGCTGGAACATCGTTTTCCACCACAACACGCATACCCATCCGTTCATGGGTCCGCTGGAGGGAGTGGCCTCTGGTTCGTTTCAGATCCCGGTACTTGGAGAAACCTCTTCGAATGTCTGGTACCGCATTAACCTTACGGTAACTGACTCAGCGGGACTGAAGCATGAGTCTTTTGTCGACGTATTTCCCCAAGTGACCCAGGTGACGATCAACACCAGTCCTGCGTTGCCCGTGGTTATCCTAGATGATCAGCCTGTCTCTGGTCCGGTTGTGTTCGACTGCGTGGCCGGAATTAGTCGCCCGATCGAAGTTCCATTGATGCAGTATTACAACGGCAAGGCATATCTCTTTAACTCGTGGTCCGACGGTGGAGGACGTTCCCATACGATTTCTACTCCCTCGACGAACACCACGATTACGGCGATCTATGAGGAGATCGACCAGGAGCGTGTCTCCGCTTCGTATTACGCCGCGGGGCTATATGAAGCCGTGCTCGATCGTGTTGCCGACACTACAGGCTTAAACCACCAAGTCGATGCTCTCATGAATCGGGTGACACGCGATCAATTGACTCAGGGATTCTGGAAGATAGGAGAGCATCGGCGACTTCAGATCAACGAAATGTACCGCGTTTTCCTCGATCGCATTCCCTCTGCCGAAGAAGTCGATTACTGGCTTGCCCAATTTCAACTCGGTATCAACGATTTGGATTTTTCGGTCCAATTCTTGAGTTCGAGTGAATTTGTTTCCCTGCTTCGGGTTCAACCGGTTCACTTCGTTGGTGATCTCTTCAAGTTGGCACTGAACAAGGTCGGTACGCCCGAGGAGCGTCAACCGTGGATCGCCATGTTGAATAACGGCGCATCGCATGCCGAAGTGGTTCGCGGCATTTTGACTTCAGCAGAACGCTACAACGTATTGATCGATCAGTTTTATCGAGATTTCCTGGGGCGTGCCCCTATTTCGGCGGAGTTGAACGGCGACTTCCATGCTGCGAAGGGTACCTCAATCGAATTGCTGGCGCGCTCAATTCTCGGTTCGCAAGAATTCCTCACGAAGCAGGTAGCTCTCCCTGTGGTGGCCGCGCTTTATAACGATATCTTGTCTCGCACGCCCAGCGATGCAGAAATCGACTACTGGAAAACCCACCTGTTTAATGGCGTCTCGCGAGAAATAATCGCCCAGGGCTTTTTGCAGTCGAGCGAACATCTGAGAAGTTTCGTTATTGACACCTATACTTCTTTCCTGAATCGGGTTCCAGCCGAGTCGGAAGTCTCGTATTGGCTAGGCCATCTTCATAAAGGCCTGACTCAGAGCGAGGCAATCGCCTACTTCTTGATTTCGAACGAATACCGCGCAGCTTACCCGGATGATACGGCATTCGTAAATAGCTTGTACGAAAAACTGTACACCCGCACTGGTGATTCCGAGAATGTGGCTGGCTGGGTTTCATCATTGTCCAGCGGCATGTCTCGGCGCGGTGTGGTGACAATCATCCTGAATGAGATCGAGTACCAATCTTCCATCGTTAAAGACGCCTACCAGCGATTTCTTAATCGCACTGCGGCACCAAGTGAGATCCAATGGTGGCGTGACAATCTGAAGTCGGTCAGCAAATTCGCCGAGTCTGTGAGAAAGTCCATCGCCTCATCGCAGGAATACTATTTATATGGGTGCGTGGATGTCGGCTCGTCTTCAGGCGTGGATCCGCTTTCAGAAGAAGAGTACTTTACCGGACTTTACAATGACATCTTGCGGCGTGATCCATCCGAGGCTGAACTTGACTACTGGATTGCAAAGCATCAGGCCGGCACCTCGCACCCGACGGCAGTTGGGCAATTCTGGAATTCGCCTGAACATGCTTCGTTGGTGGCATTCGACATTTACGATCGCCTATTGAGCCGTGCTCCAACTGATGAAGAAAGGGCACTAATTTCTGTCGAAATTGCCGCAGCGGGGAAAACCTTTGGCACTATCCAACGGGTACTTTCATCTGCCGACTATAATGCTCTCTTTCATACAAACGATGTATTTATCGTTGCGGTTTTTGAGGACCTGTTGGGACGAGCCGCGGAGCCCAGTGATCAACAGTGGTGGCTCACTCGCTTGAATAGCGGTACGACGAGAAGCGCGGTCGCAGATTCGATTGGGCGTTCGCCGGAAGCCTGGAGTTGGCTCATCGAAAGTGCGTACGAGGACTTCTTAGAAAGAGAGGCAGATTCATTTGAGCTGGTAACCTGGGTCAACGGCCTGGCGTCCGGCGCAAACACGGAGCGCGATCTGGCAATCGCACTGCTTACCTCGGAAGAGTACTACGGACAATTCGCTCCATAGCGGCAATTTAAGCCGCGTCGCGATTGCCTCGGCGTCCGCGTGATAGATACGGACGGTCTTTGCGACGGTTTCCCCGAACGACCGGCTCGGGCTGCGGGGTCATCATCTCTACGGCATCGCGGAGCGATTCCACCTGATATCGCAGTCGGGCGATGTCGCGCGAGGCCTCGTTGAGCCGATCATCAATCTCGCGGGTCAACGAAGAACTGGCCAACTTGCGTTGCACGTTGTTCAAGTTGCCGTTAAGGGTGCCGACATAGGTCACCATTTCGTCACGCACAGCCACCAAGTGGTCCAGAGTCGCCACCCGATGGTCGATCCGTTGGTGCAACACGGCATTGAACACTGTCGCCAAATGGGCGTCGAAACGATTCATGATCGGGTTCAGCCCTCGCCCCAAGAGCCGCCACATTGGGCGGAGCATCCATTTGGCGGCACGAATCGTAAGCGGAGCCCGCGGTGGTGCGGGGGGCACCATGGGAATCGCGGCGATCGGCTGTTCGGCAATTGCCTCAACCGCGGTGCTGGTTTCAACCCAATCGTGATCGAATCGTAACTGGTTGGCGATGATCTCAGGGGCATGCCGCAACTGAGGTCGTCCGGCACTTCCCACCGCAAAGGCATACAGCTTGGCGGCGAATTCGAACGACGTGTAATGATCGACGTAGTTCTTCGCATTGCGTCCGAGTTGGGTTCGCACGTCAGGGTCGCGGACCAATCGCTCAAGGTACGCGACCAACTGGGGAATTTCCAATTCGTCCACATCGACATGCCAACAGGCATCGGTGGGCAACTCGGCGTATTGCTGATAGTTGCTAACGATGCAGGCCTTGCCGTGAGCGAACGCTCGCATCAGCGTTCCAGAGGCTTCACCCAAACTGGGGCAACGCAGATTGATCACGACGTCGCTCAAGCTGACTACGCCTTCGAGATCTTCTTCGCTGAGATAGCCTGAGACCGTGACGTTTGATTCGAGCCCCAACTCGTGAATCTTCTCTTCGATCTTCAGCGAGGGGTCGACAATCGAGCCCCCAATGACAAAGCGAATGGGGAACCCGCGATCGACGAGCGTCTTTACTGCTTCGAGCACAACGTCAACGCGTTTCAGCCGGTGTACGAACCCGAGCGACGACACGACGAATTCGGTGGGATCGATCCCCAGTCGATCGCGAAGCGGAGCTAGCGCGGCACGCGACATCTCTTTGGGGTGGTCCATGCTTCCGTGGGGAATGACATGGACGTTGGGTACTTCTTGTAGCTCTTCGCGAACCCAGGCACTGTGCACGATGGTGGCCTGGCTGCGTTTGGCCAACGCCACGCTCATTGGGTATTCAAACGTATCGAGCCCGTGCGGCGGAATGGCCTCGCGGGGGATTCCGTATCCTTCCAACGCCGCCGAGTAATATAGGTCGGCTTGCTCTGTGCCAAGGAAGGCATCGTTGAGGAATGGGTTGATGTTGTAATCGTGAAGAACAATGACCCCGGGGATCTCCCACGCCAACTGGTATATAGCGCGGTGGAACTTTGTGTTGTTGCCAATGTGATACAGCACGGTGTCGTACTGTTCGGCTTCGCTTGGCAAGTCGGTCAGCCCACGAACTTGCATGCCGTACAGGGGCGGATCGACCTCTTGCGGGTTCTCAACGTACAACGTCAAGTCAACTCGCTTGCTAAGGTGCGAGGCCATCACTTGAGCATAGTGCGCCACTCCAGTGCGGTGCGGCGGCCAAGGGGTGACGTAGGCGACTCGAGGGCGGCGGCGGATGGACTTTGAAGCACGGTCGATGTGCACATCGACAAAAGTCCGCGAATAAGCGGCCGCGGTGTTCGACCAGGTGAATTTTTGGGCATGCTCCAGCCCCGCCAGGCAGCGATCTTCTAGATCGTGGTCAGTCAACGCACTCCGCAACGCGTCGGCCATTTCCGCCGTTCTGTCGGGCGAACAATAGAACGCGTGCTTACCAGCCACTTCAGGCAAAGAAGAGACATCGGATGTGACGACCGGCGTGCCGCAGGCCATGGCTTCGAGCACGGGGAGGCCGAAACCTTCGTACTTCGAGGGGAAGAAAAACACCCGGGCCCGTTGGTAAAGCCTGGCCAGTTGTGAATCGGACACATAACCCGGCATTACGAGGCGATCGCCAATGCCCAGGACGCGGGCGCGACGCTCGAACAAGGCCAACGATTCGGGACCGAACGAGCAGACGATGCAAAGTTTCAACTGCTCGAAATGATCGGGGTCGCCATTCACCAAGTGGGCGAAGGCTTCGAGGGCCCCTTCCATGTTCTTGCGGACATCGAACCCGCCGGTGTAGAGCACTAGAGGGTCGCGATTTTGAATCGGGGAACCGTTGACGGGGGCAAAGCGATGATGGTCGGCCGCTAGATACACCACGCTCGACTTGTCGGCCACGCTCGAGTCGAAGTCGATGTAGTCGTTCCGCGAATGCTCCGAAGGGAACAACATGTGGTCGATCAGGCGGGGCAGTGCCTTCAGCCGCCGCAGGTATTCGTGTTGCAGATGCTGTGGCCAGCGGTCGAGGTACCATTCGCGCATGACCCAAGGGATCAAGTCATAGACGGTCGCGAATGTGGTTACGTTCGACAAACGTCCCGGCAACAGGACGTTGATCATCAACGGATTGGGGTTCCAGTAGGCGTCGATGTGCCGGTCGTCGATCAGCTCTTGAATCAAGCCCGTGTAGCGACGTGTCGAGGCGCGAAAATCGCCCAGATTGAGGCAATCGGGCAACACCACGGGGGTTAGCTGACCGCGAACCTCGGGCGAGAACCAGTTGAGGTCTGATTCGCAACGGACGTTTACGATCCATTCTTTCGTCGGATCGTGACGTACGGCCTGCTCCACGATCATCCGTGTGCAGACGCCGATGCCGCGGGCGGCCTCGGGGGTGCCAAATGTTTGTCCGTCGAGCAGGATACGCATAGTTAGGCCGCCCCTCGCAGAAGCCGATCGAGAACTGAGTCCCAAGAGTAATGCTTCCGCGTATATCGACGGCCTGCGGCTCCCATCGCGTGACGCAGGCTGTCTGATTCGAGGGTGCGAAGCATCGTCACGAATTCGGTCGGTGTGCTCACGGCAACCCCACCGCCGCTATGCAGGCAGTGAGCGGCCGTGATTTCACAGTTGGCCGAAACAACGACGGGAACTCCGCACAGCCATGCTTCCATGATCGCTAGCGAAAAACTCTCATTCTCAGAAAGATTGATAAGCCCCAAAGCTCGCGAGAGGATGGCAAACTTCTGATCTTCTGGGAGATAGCCCAAGTCTCGCATGCCAACGTCGTGAGGAACTAGCTCGGCGACACCGCCACCGAGAAACAACAAATGTGCCTGCCCGCCTTGTGCCCGATAGGTTCTGAAGTACTGAACCAGTTGCGGCACGTTCTTGCCGACATCTTTGCGGCCAAGATAGACGAAGAATTTCGAGGGCAGGTTGAGGTCTTCGATGATTGAATCGACTTGCTCTTCGTCGGCCAGCAGTTCGTCAATGCCTGCAGGTAATTCGGTTCCCACGCCGACGACTGGCGACTCGACCAGACGGCGGCCTACGGCTCGACCGTAGTGGCGAATCGCGAGGTCTTTTTCTTCTTCGGTCAGAAAGAAGATGCGGCGGCTGGAATCGAGCAAGGTGCCGGTGGTCGACCAATACATCTGTGGTTCGTCATGCAGACAGGACATGACGCAGACTTGTCCTGGAAGTGCGGTGACCAGCGAGTAGACCACCCCCTGCGTGTACGGCAGTGCGACGATCAGTTTGTCGTGGGCATGCTCAGCAGCGTATTTGACCAACGCATCGCTGTTGATCGAATGCGTGACGTAGGCCTTCTGTTCAGCTTCGTCGAACAACCCCGAGGCGGTGTTCTTGGCGTTGAGCTGATGGAAAATGTGTTCGCCTTCGGGATTCACCGGGAAACGCCGCACGGTTACCCCGTTGACCACTTCGCTGCCCTCGGGCAGATCGCTCTTCCACCAGCTTGAATAAGGATCGCGACAGCAGGTGGTCAGTACTTCGACGTTCCAACCGCGTCGGGCCAGGTGTTCGGCGAACGAACGAGCAGCGGCTTCGGCCCCGCCGGCAAAGTGACCGTACCAAGGCGTTACGAAGATGACATCGGCTTCCGAAGAGTTTGCTGCTTCCGATTCATCGTCGGCGGGCGACAGGCCCTTGGGCTTTTGCAGTCGTCCACGGGCAAGTTCGGTTGGGACGAAATCGAATTGAATTGGTGGATCTTCTTCCTGGCCGGCCAAATACAGCGCACTGGAGCGAACCTGCGAAATGTTTGGCAGTCGACGGCAAGCAACCTCGTCGCGAAGTTGCGCCATGACCTCTGCGGTGTCGACCAGCGGTTCGAAGATCGTAAACGGATTGCCCATCGAAGTATCGAACTTCCTGTTCTTTGCTTGCTTAGGCAGCGGTTAAGTTGGGTAAGGCCTCGGCGGGAGGGGCTTGGTGCTGCTTCATAAACTCGGTGTAAGCGTCGGCCACTTCCTCCGACGGTCCAACCTGGCGTACTCGTCCGTGATCGAGCCAGACAATCTTGTCGCACATCGACTTCACCGCATCCATGTCGTGGCTTACGACGACTAGCACGCGGGCCTTCGAGACGATTTCACGGATGCGCTCGCGGACTTTCTGCTGGAAGGCAAGATCGCCGGCACCCAACGCTTCGTCGACGAGCAGGATTTCGGGCTCGATGGCTGTGGCGATGGAGAAAGCCAGGCGGACGAACATGCCGCTGGAGTAGTAGCGGACCGGCATGTTCAGGAAGTCGCCCAACTCGCTGAATTCGGCGATGGCCTTCATCTTGGGGCGGATCGACTTGGGGGTTTCGCCTTGCAGGAAGCTGCGATAGGCGATGTTCTGCCAGCCGGTGGCCTCCATCTCGAAGCCAAGGGAGATATCGAACAGCGAGCTGATTCGTCCACTGACCCGTCTTTTCCCGGCGGTGGGTTCGTAGATTCCGGCCAACACTTTGAGCAGGGTGCTTTTGCCGGCGCCGTTGTGCCCGATGATGCCGATGCGGTCGCCATCGGTCAGGTTCATGCTGATGTCGGACAGGGCGTTGACTTCGATTACCGGACTGGTTTGCCGTCGATGAAACAGGTTGAGCACATACTCTTTCAACGGAACACGACCGCCGTAGCGAACGCGAAAGGTAAGCCCGACGTTGTCGAGTTGCAGCCTTGCCATGTGTCGTTGTCCGGTTATGAAAAATTCGCCCAACCGCTTCGCCGGGAATGCTTTCGAGGTAAGCGGCCTAGGGCTACGCGGCGTTGTGCGAGGTTCGATAAGTGTGTCGTGAGTTGCTTACAGGTGGAAGATCAGTCTTCGTTCGAGTCGCGAAAGGGCCAGTGCCGCTCCGCCAGCGGTCAACATGGTGAGTATGGCGGCGACCAGGAAGGTTTGGGGGCTGGGGAAGGTTGCTTCTTGCAGCGGCTGTCTCAATAGCATGACGAACGCCCCCAGCGGGTTGGCGTTGATCATCCATACAGCCGCATTGCCCACCGCACTGGCTTTCTCTTCGAGCATGGAGGGTAGATAGATGATCGGTGTGGCGTAGAACAGAATCTGCAGCGCCACTTCGACCAGGTGTTGAGTGTCGTGAAAGTAGACGTTCGCCAGTCCCATCAATGCGGCCAGCGACCATCCGAATACCAGCAGTAGTAGCATGGTTGGAATGAGCGACGTGAGTGCCAGCAGGTTGCCAAACCCATACATGCACCAACTGACCACGATCAAGAAGCCCAAGGCCACGGAGAAGTGAATCGCCGCGCCTAAGACCGTTCGCAACGGGTAGATGGCCATGGGGGCCGGGTACTGGCGAATGTAGGATTCGCCGGCCAGCATGCTAGTGCAGCCAAGATTGGCCACACCACTGAGGTAGTTCCAGAAGCACAACCCGATGATGAGGTACATGCCGTAGGTGGTGGGATCGAGATCGAAGATCCCGGCAAAGACGGTTCCTAACACCAATGCGGTGGCCAAGGGCTGCAGCAGCGACCAGCCGAGCCCTAACATCGAGCGGCGGTACTTTGCCCGGAGATCGTTCCGCACGAGCGAGAGCCAAAAGAACCGGCAAGCCCACATCGAACGCAGGTAGGCCGTAAACCCCTTGTGATCTTCAAACGCTTCATCCGACATCATGGAAGTCTCAACAGCGTCCGGTAGCTCGCAAGCAGTTTCGTCGTTCATCTATCTCTCCACTCGGAACTAGCACTCTGATTCACGCTTGGCACAAGCTGTTTAGGCGGCCATCGCAATCTTTTTGCTGCCCGTCGGTTTCAACAGTGCCAGGTCGGAGGCAACCATCTGCTGGACCAACTCTTCGAACGAGGTCCATGGTTCCCATTCGAGTTGTTTCTTGGCTTTGCTGGGGTCTGATAGAAGCAGGTCGACTTCAGCCGGACGGTAGAACTCCGGATCGATGACCACGTACTTCTGCCAATCGAGCCCGGCGGCGTCGAACGCCAGTTGGACGAACTCCTCGACGCTGTGGGTTTCACCCGTACCGATGACGTAATCTTCGGGCTGATCTTGCTGGAGCATGAGCCACATTGCGCGGACATAATCTCCGGCAAATCCCCAGTCGCGTTTGGCTTCGAGGTTGCCAAGTCGCAACTCGTTGGCAAGGCCCAGTTTGATTTGGGCAACGCCGTGGGAGATCTTGCGAGTGACGAATTCCAGACCGCGGCGGGGGGATTCGTGATTGAACAGAATGCCCGAGCAGGCAAACATGTCGTAGCTTTCGCGGTAGTTGATCGTGAGGTAGTGGCCGTAGACCTTCGCAACACCATAGGGGCTGCGGGGGTAGAGCGGGGTCGATTCGCGCTGCGGGGTTTCTTGCACTTTGCCGAACATTTCGCTCGAGCTGGCCTGATAGAAGCGAATGCTCGAATCGACAATCCGCACGGCTTCGAGCATGCGGGCGACCCCCAAGCCGGTCACATCTCCGGTGAGCAAGGGTTGCTGCCAACTGGTGGGCACAAAGCTTTGAGCGGCCAGGTTATAGACTTCCGTCGGGCGAACTTCGGAGATCGTGCGGATCAACGAAGCCTCGTCCGAGAGATCGGCCGAATGCAGAGTGATTTGATCGGTGAGGTGTTCGATGCGCTCTAGCAACGGGGTGCTACCACGACGCGTGATGCCGTGAACTTCATAGCCCTGATCGAGGAGGAACTCTGCCAGGTAGGAACCGTCTTGCCCGGTGATGCCTGTGATAAGAGCTGTTTTTGACATTCGATCTTTGCCCGTTGTGATAAGCGATTGAGGGTGAATTCGACTGAACCGTTATCAGGGGCAAACAATGTCTTCGGGATGGCCCGCAACGCAGGGTTATTCGACACACCGAGGCACCAACGCACAGGCAAACTATAAAGCTGCCCATGGGGCGCATCGCGACCGCCAAAACACACGTTACAAGAAGCCAACCAAGGCATTCCCTGCCGGATAGTGTGGCTCAAAGCGGGGGGAATATACGGGTCCCCCGACGATAGTGTCAAGACAAAATGAACGTGTAAATCGCGTGGCCCCAAGTTGTTTGTGTAGCACAACAAGCGATCAACGAGAATTCACGAGAACTGCACGAAACGGAGGGTAATTCCACGTCTCAACGATAGCGAAGCTGTGAAAGCAACTCGTTCGCTTTACGCGGCCGATCGTTTCTCGCCAGAGTTTCCGCCTGCTGTGCTAGCCGCTACGGTCTCTGCTAGCACGTTGGCGTAGAGTCGGGCAGAAAGTTCGTACGAAGAGAATCGCTGCACGTAGCTCTTGGCATTGTTTCCTAGTGTGCGAGCAAGAGTGGGGTCGTGCAGCAGCTCGGCAACTGCAGACACGAGTTCGTGAACTTCGAGATGGTCGGTGCTGATCTTCCAGCAGGCGTCGTCGGGCAGTTCGGCGAATTGTCCGTAATTGCTGACGATGCACGGTTTCTCGCGGGCCATGGCTTTGTACATCGTGCCCGAGGATTCTCCCATGCTGGGGTACCGCAGGTTGAGCACGACATTGCTGAGTTGAATCAGCCCATCGAATTCGTCGTCGGTGAGATAGCCCGTGACGGTCACGGCATCGTGCAAGTCGAGTTCGGCGATCTGATGAAGGAGCCATTCTTGCTCGTCGGTGATACTGCCACCGATGACAAGCCGCACGGGATACCCTAGCGATCGAAGTTGGGCGATGGCCTGCACGATGATCGGAACCCGTTTGAGTCGATTGACGTAGCCCATGGTGACGGCGACAAACTCGTGCGAGCCCAAGGACAGTCGTTTGCGTAGCCGTGCAATGAGCCCCGGGTCGCAGGTGCGCAGGTTGCTTGCCGCCCCGTGTGGAATGACATGCACCGCATCGATGCCGTCGAGATGCTGGCGCGCCCAACGGTTGTGTACGATCGTGGCACGACTTCGCGCGGCGATTGCGCGAGACATCGGGTATTCGAACATATCGAGCTGGTCCGGGTCGCAATCCTCGCGATCGATACCGTAGCCGTCTTCAACGGCCTTAAAGAACAGTTCTTGGTCGTCGCTGTGAAAGAACGCTCCGGACATGAAGCTGTGGATGTTCGAGTCGTGAATCACCGCGATCCCGGGTCGCTCCCAGGCCTGTTGGTAGATTGCTTTGTGAAACTCGACGTTGTTCCCGATGTGGTAGATCGCGGCGTCGAATTGATCGAACTGTGAAGGAAGTTCGTCCAACGGCCGAATCGGGCGGCATTGGCATTCAGCGCCTTTCGGGACGTTGGCCTCGGTGAAGACGGTGAGTTCGACCAGGTCAGCCAGTTTCTCGGTTAACGAAGCACTGTAGTCGGCCACTCCGGTTCGCTGGGGAGCCCACGGTGAGGCGTAGGCGATTCTTAAACGTCGCGGCAGCACTTCGACGGGCGGTCGAGCCACGCGTTGGAACCATGCCACGTGGGAAGCTGCAGCCGAATCCCAAGTCGTCTGAAGTGCGCTGCCTGGTTTCCTCAATGACATAGCCCGATCGGGGCCATCGAACAATGCACTTCTTGACGCCCGTTCAAGTGAAGCAGCTTCGTTCGGGTTGTAGTGAAACCCGGTATCTCCCACGAGTTGGTGAATAAAGCCCGTTTTCGGTGTGATGATCGGCAATGCTTCCGTCATCGCGATGGAAAGTAGTTCCAAATCGCACTCCCCCCCGGGTCCGATGTACATCGCATCGCAGACGGGCCCGCCGGCGTTCATTGCCTCGATGGTGTGGTAACTCTCGAGTGTGACTCTTCGTTCACGCTCGGTGTCCCAAGGGCGAACCAAGCTGCGGTGCAGCGACCCTCGTACGTGCCCTACAATCACCAGCTTTAGTCGTCGCTGGGAGCGAGTGCTTGCCACAGCTTCGTTGAGCGCTCGAACCGCCTGTTCAAGCTCTTCTTCTCCCGGCTGTTCGTGTCCATACAACACCCGCACTACGTCTGGATGATTCATTCCCGCTCGCGATGCACCGGCAGATACAGGGCACAGTGGGGGAGCGAGAACTGTTGTGTGCGGAGATTGCCTGCAGGTGTACCGAGCGAGGAATCGCTCGCGATCACCTGAGCTCGCGAAACTGATGGAATCGCTCCATTTGATGATCGCAGTGTTCCGCTGTAAGACCATGTCTCGTGAGAGCGGTCGCAGCATGTTAGATTGGAACTCATCGTGCGAGAGACAAACGCGCGTGCCATCAAGGCCCACAGGCACCGGTACATCGAGCGTGCTGGCCGCGGGATGCCAGTACAGGTCGATTTGATGTTCGTCGACCAACTGTTGGACTTGCTGTCGATATCGCTCGTCACGCTTACCGAGATCGTGACCGACGTGCTCCCACGGAATCGTCAGCATGGTTGCGTAGGGTGCGAGCGAGAGTTCATCTTCTTGCACTGCGTGCTCATGTGGAACACAGACGAACCACTCGTGAACCGTATCGTCCCAGACCATTTGCTGGCACAAACGTCGAAATCGCAAGCCCTGCGAGCGGTGCTTGTGTGGCGAGGAGAGGAGACAGCCGTCGATTAAGATGCGCATGACTGGGCAACCCCCAGAACCAGGCGATCGACGATACAGTCCCACAGACGGCGGTCTTCCGTCGAGCCAGATCGAGATGCGGCGTCGAGGCCACGATCTTCCAGCAGGGGCCCCAACACCGTGGCGGTAATCAGCCGCGGGCCGAGTTCGTGTCCGTAGCGTTGAATGGCTCTGCGACGGTCGTCTTCGCTCCAGAACAGCAATCGTCCGGCCGAGGCCATCATGTCGCGGAGCGTTTCCCAGCCGGGCTCGGGTTCGGCCATCGGGCCGGCAATCAGAACCGAATGACCGTCCAACTCGTGAACCAGATTGTAGCTGAGGCCGTGGATCGACCCGATGCAGACGACGGCGGTTTCAGCAACGCGACCCCGGGCGTACTGCACCAGGGCGTCGCTGTTGATGCCGGCATGCATCATCTCAACTTGCTCTTCGGCATTGAGTTTCTCGCCCGCTTTCAAACGTGCGGCGAGTTCGCGATACCGCTGTTCACCGTCGTCATTCACCCCAAAGCGGTGCACGAGGACACCGTCGATGAACTCGGTGCCGATGGGCAGTTCGTTCTCCCACCAGTTCGATTCCGGGCTGCGAACGCAGGTGGTGAGCATCTCGACCTGAAAACCGCGCTCGGTGAGATTGCGAGCCAGGTGATCGGGGACCCAGCGCCACCAGTCGCTTGCCGTGGGTTTGGTCGCGTCGGGCCAAGCCAGTGCGCCGTACCAGGGGGCGACCATCGTGATGTGCCGTGGGCCGATTGCGCCGCGGAAAGTAGAAAGCCCGGGGCCCGGCTGTGAAACTTGGGGGCTGGCCATCATCCCGGCAAGGGAACGCTCCAGCAGGCGAATGCGATTGCGGTCTTTCGCCAGTGATGCGTGATGCTGGGCCGTGAGGTGCCGGAGGTCGCGGGCTTCTTGCAATAGCCGGCGCTGCATATGCCGGCGCCGTAGCTCGTACGCGTAGTGGATGTTCAACGTACGCAGCGTTCGCTGCCATATTCGCGAGAACCACGAACGCGGGCCCGAGGTGCGTTGCGAATTACGGCGCGAGTCGAGCGGAGCTCTCTCCGTTGATTCTGCGGGCGAGAACAGCTGCAGTTTCGCGGCCGGTTTAGGCGGCGCGATTGGGCTTCCGCCCATGATGCGACTTCGTCGTCGGGCATCGTCGCGCAACTGGGCGATCCGACGAGCCGGCTGATTGTCGAAGCGTTGAGGTTGGACCATAGGTCGCTGTCATGCTAAGGAGCCTCATCGCGGCGCTCTAGGCAGCCATACGATTGTCGGTGTCGGTGGCAATCGACAACAAGGCCAGGTCGTTGTCCACCATCATCGTCACCAGGTCTTCGAAGCCAACCTCCGGCTTCCAGCCTAGCTGACGTTCGGCCTTCGTGCGGTCGCCCAACAGGAGGTCGACTTCCGCAGGGCGATAGAATTGCGGATCGATGACGACGTGTTGCCGCCAGTCGAGACCAACATAGTCGAAGGCGATCTGCACGAACTCTTCGACACTGTGCGTTTCACCGGTGCCGATCACGAAATCGTCGGCTTCGTCCTGTTGTAACATCATCCACATGGCACGGACATAATCGCCGGCGAATCCCCAGTCGCGTTTGGCTTGCAGATTGCCCAACCGCAGTTCGGAATCGAGGCCCAACTTCACGCGGGCCACACCATGGGTGATCTTTCGCGTGACGAATTCCAACCCGCGACGGGGCGATTCGTGATTGAACAAGATGCCCGAGCAGGCATACATGTCGTAGCTTTCGCGATAGTTGATCGTCAGGTAGTGACCGTAGACCTTGGCCACACCGTAAGGGCTGCGAGGATACAGCGGAGTTGTTTCGCGTTGGGGTGTTTCTTGCACCTTGCCGAACATCTCGCTGGAGCTGGCTTGGTAGAAACGAATGTCGGGATCGACCAGGCGGATGGCTTCGAGGGCGCGGGCAACACCCAGGCCGGTGACATCGCCGGTGAGGATCGGTTCGTGCCAACTGGTGGGCACAAAGCTTTGGGCCGCCAGGTTGTAGAACTCGGTGGGGCGAATCTCTTGAACCAGTCGCACGAGCGAGGCCAAGTCGGTCAAGTCGGCTTGATGCAGAACCACCTGGTCTTGCAAGTGGCGAATCCGCTCGGTCGGTTCCGTGCTAGCCCGGCGAACGATACCGTGCACGCGGTAGCCACGCCCCAACAAGAACTCGGCCAAGTAAGAGCCATCTTGGCCCGTAATCCCCGTAATGAGTGCGGTTCCCGGCATGGTTTTGATTCTTCCTTGAACGGACCATGAATGTAGATTCGGAATCAATCGCGCCCATGGCACGCTACTGCGGTAACCATCGGCAAATCGAGAGTTTGATCTGAGCGTGGTGGCAAACTTTTTTGATTTTTCGAGTTCTTGCGCCGTCGGTGCTGTCGCACCAAGGGGATGCACCCGTAGACAAAGAAAGGTTTGCGTCCTGCGTTGCTTTCTTCGTCATCGCTGCGAAAGAAGAACCGCGGTTGGGTGGCAACCCCGGCGGGGGGAGTATAGGAGCCTTCAAAAAAACGTGTCAACGTGGATCGATGGTCCACTGCAAGCACCGGCATCGAGGATTGACCCGAGTTCGGCGAATCGTTAGATCATCTCACGGCTGGTCAGTCGAGTTGAATGGCGGGTGGGTTTGCTAGCATCGCTGACATGCTCAGGCCAGCTTCGAACCGCGGGGCTGCCAACACTTGAAAAGACTCTCTCGGGGGATACACGGATGTATCGCCGGCATGGGCAAAAGCTCTCGCTGATATTTCTGGCCTGCGACTTGGGCGTGACCGCGATAGCGTGGTTCACAGCGTACTGGGTGCGGTTTGCCCTATGGCCTGCGCAGCATGGCGTTCCAGATTTGCATCTGGTTGTTGAAGCATTGCCCCTGGTTTTGTTGATGGCGGCCATCGCCTATCGCGTGTGTGGGCTTTATGAGATCCATCGTTTGCGACAGCTTCCTCGTGAGTTGGGCGAAGTTTGCAAGGCCGGCGGTCTGTTGTTCCTGCTGGCGATCGCGGCGGCCTTCTATCGCCGCGACCTGTACGAATCGCGGCTGGCGTTGGCGCTGTTTCCGATGATTGACGTCGGGTTGCTCGTCGTGGTGCGCCGTATCTTGTGGCAAGCACTGACGCACTTTCGCAGCCGCGGCTTGAACCGCGCTCGGGCAGTGATCGTTGGTAGCGGACGGCTGGGACGCACGGTCGCCGAAACGGTGGGGAACCACGCGTGGACCGCACTGGAAGTGGTGGGCTATGTCGACCGCCCCTCGCCGGGCGAAAGCGATTCGCGGCGACGCTTGGGAGACCTGCACGAGCTGCCCGCAGTGATCGAACAACATGATGTGGACCATGTGTTCGTGGCGCTACCCTTGTCACGGTATGGGGAACTGCCGGCCGTTTATCGCGCGTTGAGCGATTTGCTAGTCGAAGTTCAACTCGTACCCGAGGCACCCCAGTTGGCCGGCATGCGGCTTCGGGCGTTGGAGATCGACGACCTGGCGTTTCTTAGCCTAAGGGCCAACCCGCATCAGGGCTTGCATAAATTCGTCAAACGCGGCACCGACTTGCTGGTTGGTACCGCGGCATTAATCACGTTTGCTCCCCTCATGGCCGTGCTGGCCGTGTTGATCAAGCTTACGAGTCGCGGCCCCGTGCTATACCGGCAGCCGCGGGCAGGCTTGGGCGGAAAGACATTCAAGATGCTGAAGTTCCGCTCGATGCGATGCGATGCCGAACAGCAGACCGGGCCCGTATGGGCAACTGCAGGTGATTCGCGGTGCACCGCGCTGGGGCGCTTCATGCGGGCGCATAGTCTCGACGAGTTACCACAGCTCTTCAATGTAATCGCGGGCCACATGAGCCTGGTGGGCCCTCGGCCCGAGCGGGGTGTGTTCGTCGAGCGATTTCGTCAGCAGATGCCTAACTATGTGCAACGTCAACAGGTGAAAGCCGGCATGACGGGCTGGGCCCAAGTGAACGGCTGGCGGGGGAACTCGTCGCTGAGACGAAGGCTTCAGTTCGACCTTTACTATGTGGCCCACTGGTCGTGGTGGTTCGATCTGAAGATTCTGTGGCTCACACTGTGGTGTGGGTTCGGGAATCGCCACGCGTATTGATGTCAAGAAGACGCGCGCGGGTCATCGTTGCGGTCTGAGGACCGTTCAATTGGTGACTGGCGGAGGGCAGGGCTACTTTCTGGCAATCCTTGCAGTCTGCTCTTCTGAAGCCGCGAGGTGGCTGCGAAGATCTTCGCAGTGTTCAATCGCCCGCAGTGCTTGGGCCATGGTCGGGGCGTGTTGGCTTTCGACGGCATCGTCGATCACGCGATAGGCGTACTGGTCGCGGCCCAATACCTGGGCAACTTCTCGTCGCAGGTCGAGTAGTTCTTCCAGCAGTTGCTCGCCTTGAGCATCGATATCCATGTTCGGTTTGTCTTGCATGGCCGGGACCTTCTCTTGCAGATCGATGGCATTGCGCCGGAGTGCAGATTCGAATCGATGAATTGCGGTTCGACTGCTAGGTGTGGGAGACCGATGCCCCCAATAAAGACTAGCACTCCGCATCGCTTACATCGGTCGCTGCGTTCCATTCGATGGATGCCGAGCGATGCATCCTGCGCATTCCCTGCAATCGATAAAGTCGGCCCGTGGCCGACCCTGGTTGAAGCTGCGATTTTCTGACTAAGGCGGGTTTTGGACTTGACACTTTTGGCCAGCTAGCGGTAATGGTGGTCAATGCTGTTGTCCATTTTCCCGTAAACTGAGAAGTGCACCCCCCCATCGACGAGTCGCAACCCATTTGGAATAATGCACTTAATAAAATTCGCTTTACAACGGCCGTTGGCCGCACAGTCGTGCTTTATGCGATTCCGTTAAAGCGAAATATGAAACTAATTCGAGTTTAGTGCGTATAAAGAGATAGTTAGAAACGGTCCGCAAGAGGCGGCTCACCCTTTGTTTGTGGCAAATGACTGGCATCGCAAGGAGGTCTGAAGCAATTCTCCGTCCACGCAAAGGGCTGTAGTTTCGAAGCGAAGAGGCTCGGGTGACCCCCTGAACGAATTGGAACCTCGTTCAAAGCGGGGTGGGTTATCCGATTTGACTACAGATTACCCCGGCTTGGCGAACAACGTGCGTGTGCACGCGATTGCTGAGCTTCAGTTTGCAGATCGCGGGAGGCGATCATGAAGCTGGACAGGACATCGGCAGTGGTAGATTTTCAATTGTTGGCTCAATTCCAACGTCTTCGCGATACGCTTCTCGAAGAGCGTTTCGCTCCGCACTGGGACCGGCCCCTGGCTTATTGGGCGCTTCCCAACGACCGCCGGCTTCCGCTGGCCTTCATGGACCGGTCGATTCGCAATCTTCTGGAAACCCCCTTCGACGAGTTGCACAGCACTCCCGGCGTGGGCCAAAAGAAGATTCGCTCGATGGTCGAGTTGCTCGGAAGGGCCGTGGACGACGAGCCAAGCAATGGCCACGCCCCCGTACAGCCTGAACCGGTTGTCAAACAGCCGGCGCCGGTGAGCAACAACTTCGATCCTTCGAACGTCTCTGAATCGACCTGGGCCGAGTGGCGTGAGTCGATCAAACGCAACGAGCTGGAAGCTGCTCCCTTAGGCCGCTTCGCGCGATCGCTGCTCGACCTTCCGAAAGTGCTGTGGCAGACCGATTTGGGCACCTACACCGAGCTGACGCTTGGTGAGATTCGCCGACTGAAAACGCACGGCGAGAAACGTGTGCACGTGTTGCTGGAAATATTCCACGATCTGCACCGCGTGGTCTCGATGATTGGTCCGCAAACCGAACTTACGGTTTCGATCCGACCTCGATTCGCCAGTCAGCTTGAATCGTGGATTGCTTCGGCCCTAATTGCCGAAGAGCCGCCGAGTGCAGAAGAGTTGCACGAGCACTTCATTCAACCGCTGGTCGCACAAACCCGCATCGACGCAGGCGAGTCGTTGGCTGAGTTGGTTGAGCTTCGCTTAGGCTTGGGTCACGAAGTGCACAGCGTGCGCGAAGTGGCCGAAAAGCTCGGACTCACCCGCGCGCGTGTGTATCAGATGATGGCCGACCTCGCGGCGGTGATGCAGGTTCGCTGGCCCGAGGGGCAGTCGCTGGTTCACGAACTGGTGATGTGGCTGCATGCCACGAAGCCCGAGGGCGAGTATCGATCGTTCTTTGCCGCGGCCGAAGTATTCTTCCCCGCCAAGCGATCGCTGCATGAAGACTCGCTGAACGAGGACGACGGCTCGGACCTTCCCTACCACGACCCTGGTCATCGCAGGGCGGGTTAACTCGCTTCCGCTGTGTTGAACTGCTTCTCGTAGCAGTCTTGCGCACGCCTTGCGCCACCCCGAGTTGGTGTGGGTTGGCAGCTCGCCATGGCCCTTGAGGCCGGGGGGCGTGGCTTGCTTGCATTCCGCTTCGCATCACCTAAGATGCTTCGCAACCTGGTGGGGTAACGTGGGTGGAGTGTTGGTCTCCGTCGTGCCACGGTCCCCGGTTCGATTCATTATCTCGCGCGGCCGCCCTATTTGATTCGGGTGAGCCTGCCGACGAGCAAAGCATCTTCGAAGGGAGCAATACGTTGGGCCACCATCAAACAGCGGAACACCGTCCGGGCAAGCATTCGTACCACCAAATCGGGCTCGTCCGAGGGCAATTCGGCAACGTGCCTGAAGAACAATGGCTCAACTGGATTGCCGATGTCGGGTTCGATGGCTGGGAAGAAGCTTCGTGGGAGTTGGATCTGAGCCGTGCGGCCGACAACGCTGGGGCCGAGGCTTACGCCAAGGAACGCGTGGCGTTGGCCAAAGACCGGGGCATGGAGATCTTTTCGTTGGCCGCGCACCTGCAGGGACAGGCGTTGGGCGATGAGCCGAGTGCCAAGACGCTGCAGTTTCTGGGTGGTGAATCGGTCGAAGCTTACGCCGCATGGCGAGCCGCCGGGAATGAACCACCACGGACTGATCCGTTTTACGTTCCGCCGGAATTGGCCGAAATCGCGCGGAAGCAAGCCTCAACCTCCTTGGTGAACACCGTTCGCCTGGCGCACTTCGTCGGTAAATTACAAAACCGCACGGTGCCCGTCTCGGGCTTTGTTGGTTCGCCGGCGAATTGCTGGAGCCACTGGTTCTTGTTCCCGCCACTTCCCGACTCGTTGGGCGGTCATCCCATTCCGAACGTGTACGAGGTGAGCCTCGAATTGCTGGTCGAACGCTTCTCGCCCGTGTTCCAG